TGCTGTCTATCATTCATGCCCTGTGCTGCTCCAAATGACCACATTTTGGCTGCAGAGGTCCTATATGAAGAGGGAAGGGAAAGCTCGGGGTCCCCACTGCCTGGTGGGGAAGCAAAATGTCAGTGGATCCCATCCACAATCCCAAAACCCATCGCTGGGATCAGTGTGAACCAACACACATCGCTCTCCCCCAAACCACAGATTTGGGGCTATCCAACCTTTCTCCTTTAGCTCTTTAGTTGGGACGACGAAAGCCCCAAGAATCCAAAACCACCCCTACCAGAGGGGATGCCTGGTGTCCTCCCCCTCCCCAAAGAAGCACTCGAGGATCATTTGGATTTAAGAACAAAAAGCTGATGCCACCATTTCAGTGCTTGTTAATTCCTGTGCTCAGCAGCTGCTTTGGCAGTGGGTTCTGGTTCAGCAGTTTCTGCCTGGTCCACAATGGGAGAAGGATTGTAGGAAAGATTTGGGGCTGGGGAAAAATGGGAGAGGTACCACAAGGGGTAAGGAGAGTGATCCATATCCCATTGGCTCTGGGCAAGGGATGAATATGGAGACAAAGTAGGAGAGAAATGAAACCTACAGACAGAACAAAGGGCAGAGAAAGGAAAAGAAAAAAAAGGCACTGTAGTACTTACAGTCTTTTGGAAGATGGTCTGGGAGATGGTGATGGAAGCAAGAGGAAGGATGGGGACCCAGTCACCCAGAGGTAATGGGGAGCAGAGCGAGCCTGCCCACAGTTCAGCCCTAATTCAGTGCAGTGGTGGGAAAATGCTGCAGCGTGGCCCTTCTGGCTGGAGGAGGGGTCATTCCATGGACAGAATGACAGCCAACGAGACCAAAGGGAAAGTTGTGAGACCCACGGGCCTCCCTAGCAGAGCCGGGAGGAGCCGGGCTTCCCAGAGCCCAGCACGGCCACGAGATGCCGTGGGGAGAAAGAAAACAACCCTGTGACGACAAGCAGAGGGAAGAAAATAAACCTTTCAGCTCAAAACACTTCCAGCAGCTGTAAAAACAAAGGGCCAGCCATGGCCAAACAACACCACAAAGGAGTGGCATGAAAGGGGATGGAGGACAACATGGAAAGGGGATGGAGGACAACACGGAGCCTCCCGATCCACTCGATGCCTCCCAAAGGCCAGCAGCTCGTGGGACAAACCTGCACGTGTCCCTTGTCCCAGCCTCTCCACAAAGACCCTACCTTCATCCCTAGCCTCTCTGGGAGGACCATACCCATGTCATCTCCTCATCTCCATCCTTTCCAAGAGGACCTCGTCCATGTCTCCTCATCCCCAGCCCCTTCAGGAGGACCCTGCCCATGTCAGCTCCATCCTCTCCAGGAAGACTCTCCCCACGCCCTCTTGTCCCCAGTCCCTCCAGGAGGACTCTACCATGTCCCCTCCATCCCCAACCCCTCTGGGAGAACCCCAGGTGCCCCCTGTCCCCACCTCATCAACCAAACATGCTATGCAAGGAGCACTACATTGAGAAGCTAAGGCACAAAGCAGGCAGCCCTCTCCAAAATGGGAAGGGC